AAAAGTCCTTAAAAACTACTTTTTTTTTAGTTATGATATTTCAAATTCTAAATCTACAAAGACAGATTTCCTTTTGACCGTAAATGCATATCATTTCCAAAATTAGTTCAGCTTGTGATTTTAGGGCATTGGCCCTAAAAAAAAACATCATTGACAGAGAGTCCCAACTTTAAACTGTCTTACACCTGAGTGTTGCAGGGCTTTTACTGGAGGTGTAATGAATAAAGCTCTTCAACAGTTATTTCACTGAGTAGACAATGTCTGAAAATTTGCAAAAAAAAGTAAAAAGACTGATTGTTGGCCTATAACATGAAAAAAGTAAGATAATGATTAAAGGGTCGTTACACTGTTTTTCAGCCTCACATTGAAGCTATTTTCCAAGTATTACAGCAGAAGACATTCATTTCTGATCACGTGTGACCCTGAGAAACAGAGGAGCAACTGGTGCAAACAAACTCTCCCTCCTCTCCCTCCTGCCTGATGGCTCAGTGAAAGTGAAAGTGGCTCTTGTGTGATGATGGCAGCAAACAAATAGCAGGGAACAGATCGAGCAGCATTGCTGTGACATGTGTGTGCTGTATGTTGTACGTGTGTCATGTGTGTTATGTATGCTGATACATCATGTGTCAAAGCCTGCAGGACAACAACCACAAACATGCCTCTAGACCTCCAGACTGTCAGGACATCTGTCATCGCTGACAGTCATATGTCCCGCTGTGTGTGTGTGTGTGTGTGTGTGTGTGTGTGTGTGTGTGTGTGTGTGTGTGTGTGTGTGTGTGTGTGTGTGTAAATATGTGTAAGGATGAGACAGAAAGAGAGGATGGGTGAGTGTTTGGCAGCAGGTCAGTCCAGAGAACATGAGAACAGACGTGGTTTTTAAACATTCATGCCCGATATCCTTGGCGGCATTTTTTTGTTTCACACATCAAAAGGAGCTTAAATGTGGCAGCCTTGTCAAAGGAAACACACACACACACACACACACACACACACACACACACACACACACACACACGCAAAAACATATACAGGCCCAAATAAAACAATGTGAGCCTATGGTTTTAACAACTGATAATTTGATAATTTCTTTGTTTTAAGAAAATAAATCTCATTCTTGACTGACATAACTGATCAGATTCTGACTGTGAAGTGCCACTAAACAAACATTAAACCTGTTTTACTGTTTGTTATATACACACAGCTTTGGGGAAACATAACTGCATGTTTGTCATAATCAAATTACTCTTAACTCGTTTTGATTTAGTTCAATTTATTGCACCACTTAAAGGAAATGACTGATTTATTTTACTGACGCCACAGCTTGACGCGGAGATGCATGTTCACTACTCCGTCACTAGGGGGAGCAATTTACTCACATTTAAGTCCATTCTTGCTGGTAAGAACTACAAGGGTGGATGGAAACGAATGCCACAGTTGTAATATACAGATAATTCAAATATCTAATCTTATTCATCATTTTTAATTTGCTTTGATGATTTTAACAAAAATCTTTAAATAATGTTATTTACCAACAAAAAACACTCGTGAGAGTGTGAGAGTAATTTTAGTCTTTTTTTTACTGAGCTGGTAAGCCACATCCAATAAAAGACTCCTTAGAGTTAAGCAAGTAAAAATAACAAATTAGACGTAAAGCTCCAGTAAGGAGTTTTTTTTATGTTGATGACATCGACTGAAAGTCATACTGATGCCTTTTCATAATATAGTAAAGTAAAAAAGAACATCAGAAGTAAGATTTGTAATTTTTTGTTGTAAATTCTAATGCCTGAAACCTGTATGAGAGGTAAGTGTCGGTCAGGCAGCTGGAGAAATAGCTCTGTTTTTACATCTTCTCTATAAAATGGGCTGTTCCTCATGAGCTTTAAACATTCTGCTGGAAAGTCCACGTAAATGTCCCAGAAAGAAGAAAACCCCTTTCAGAGGGGAAAGAAATACTAACTAGTCCAGATTCTTAAAATAAGATGTTTATCTGGACCAGTCTGGTGAATATGGCATCTCTTAAAGCTCCTGTGAGGAACTTAGGTTTGCATTGATTAAACCTCCTCCTGTTTTCTTTTAATATTCAAATTATTACTTTGAACTGCAATAGAAAATGCAAAAACATTTCATTTTATTTCTTTAGCGTAATGTGAAGTTTCTTGGCTGACACCTACCCTTTGGCAGCTTTTTTTATATATTATAATTACTAAACAGACACTTTCCTGTCATTGATAGTCTCATGTGCTTTATAAAAAGTAATTGCTGAGCATTTCTATGTTTTTCACAGCCACCTAAAAAACTGCTCACAGGAGCTTTAAGGGAGCTTCAATAACAGCAGTGATTAACTGACTGACCTATTTTGAAGTTATATATGCTGTTTTAAATCACTCCATGTGAAATGAATTAATGTGTATATAAATTAGGGAATTTAGATGTAATTTCATGTAATCTAATATTTTAATATCAAAAAATGCAAAGTAACATTTGTGTGAACTTCCAAATCAATGTAATAAAGTAAAAAAGTTGGACATTTTCTTCTGTCATGTAGTGATATCTGTTTTTAAGGTTTATATAGAACTACATTTTGACACAATGATACAAGTGATGTGTTTCAATGCTGAATCCTAAAATCTAGACGCAGAGTCACTACCACATGCTGGATGATTTTGATTAAAGTATGAAGGGATCTGGACATGCATTATATACTGACCCAACAAACCAGAGACTGATATCATGAAGTGAGCTGGGGTGACCATTGATACAGCAACAGCTTTCCTGAGTCATGCAGTACAGTTATAGAGTCACTATGCTCAATAATGATATTCTTATTTAAAACAATATGTCTCTTTAAACAGGTTTCCATACGAATTTGACTTACTGTGTCAGTACTTCATGACCCCTTTCAGTGGTGCTAATGTCATTAATCTGTATCTTTTAAAGGCTTTTTGTGTCCTTAAATCAATCAGAAACAAGACTTGTACTGTTTTATAATACTCCTTTAATTCACTGGTTATCACAGAATCTCACTTTTAGGACGTTGCTGCTAAAGTGGGCCGTAAACATCAGGAGTCCCAATGCCCCAGTCTGTACTGTATCCTTTATCATTGATTGTAAATCATGTAGAATCACGCCATATCATGTCACGTTGGATTATGCTTTCTGTGTTGAGTATTATCATACCCTGACATATTGTATCAAATGAAACTGAATTGTATTGTATCATGTTGGGTGATATTATATAGTATCATATCATAACATGACATAATGTGTTGTGTCATTCATTTCATTCCCTTCCATTTTATTTATATAGCACAATTTGGGCAAACACAAGGTTTCCAAAGTGCTGCACAGCAAGATAAAAATACAATAAATAACACAACAAAAGCACAGTATTACTTATTGTCATGACTTATTGTATTGCATCCTAATATATAGTGCTGTTGAATTGTATTGTGTGATGTCATGTCATGTAGTATTGTATCCCATTGTTTCACATTGTGTCATGTCATATTGTATCATACTGAATATATAACACTGTACTGTGCCATATCATGACTCATTGAATTGTATTAAATTGTACTGTACTGTATCATGTCATATCATATTATACTGTCATGTCATGACTTATCATATTGTATCTTATTGTACATTATATATCATGTATTATTGTATCATATTGTATTTTATTGTTTCTTGTCATGTTGAGTCATGATGTGTTGTATAGTATCAAGTCAAATCATATAGTATTGTACTGTATCGTGCTATGTTAGGTCGTCACACCTCCTCTTGTTTTGTATCACATTATCTCATAACTTCATGTCAACTTCATATAACTATCATGTCATATCATGAGCTACTGTGCTATTCTAATCCTTATTTAATTAACAATATTAGCGGCACTGCTTCCAGTAATTTTAGTCATGTGTTGGGTGCTTCTGATATTGGTCGACTATTTATGACAATATAGAAGTCCTGATGGAAAAAAAAAACACACTTAGCAGAGAGGTCCACAGAGGTCTCACAGGGTCTGCTAGTTGTGATGGATGGACATAAAGGTAACTCAAGTATCATAATACGGCCCTCCCATTCACCTAAGAATCCCAATCCAACTGAACAACCATGAGCACATAACTGTAGAAATATTTATGCTTAATACCAGTTCATCCAATCAGGGTAGGTTACAACATGGACAATTTGCCAGCCTATTACAGGGCCAATATATGGATAGCCAACTAGACGCACTCACAACTTAACATTAGGGTCAAAAATTGACCCAAACAAATGACTTCAGACTACAGGGGAAAACCAACATTCGCACAGGGATCTGAGCTGGGATACAACTTACTGTGAGGCAACAGCACCAACCACTGCATCAGCATGTCGCCCTACAATACCACAATAACAATAACTACAATAAGTAGTCTAGGAAGCTTATAATACTGTAAATACTGCAACAAAGCAGGCTTAAATCCATTTCTTTCCACAATGCCTATGCAGTCTACCAATCTAAACAGGGAAAATGTTTTTTTTGTTGTTGTTTTTATTAAATGTCTATAGTTGAACTACTAATTGAATAAAAGTTCTCTGCTTTATTCAAGTCTAATAAATTCATGTATTATTAGAAAAGCTGGCCAATGTTTGAAATGAGTGCCCTCCAATGTTGTCTGTCTGTCTGTCTGTCTGTCTGTGAAATGTCGGCTAACCAGCTCTGCTTTTATATTGGAAACCATAGAGCTAACTGGTAAATAAAACATGCATTCTTTATTTGCTTGTTGCTCCTGCTTATATGGAGCCTGCTGCTGCTGACTCCCTCTTATAACAGTATAGTAGAATCTTTGCAGGGTGTCCCCATCCATCCATTCACAAAGCCTGCCTGACTCTGTCTACAGAGGGCGGAGAGAGAGAGAGAGAGAGAGAGAGAGAGAGAGAGAGAGAGAGAGAGAGAGAGAGAGAGAGAGAGAAAGAGAGAGAGAGAGAGAGAGATGTGAGACGTCTCTTCCTCACTTGGCTGCATTTGGTTTACTGACACCGGAGACGCGACCATGCTGTGGAAACTAGTTGAGAATGTCAAGTATGAAGATATTTATGAGGTAACGTTACCATCCATGTCTGTGTATGTGTTGAAGAAAGGCTATTTCACGTTTGTTTTATACTTAAAAGGAATATTTCAGCATGAAGCTTTTCTCGAGATAATTAAGGTGTTTGTGCAGAAGGCTTTAAGGCCTGCTGTTTGAAATTAAGTGAGCGTTTGAGTGAAGAGGGGGAAATTTCAACACGAGTATTATTTCGTTTGGAAACATTTTTGTCACAATTTAGTTCAAATTTTCGGATTTTTTTCCCCCCTTTTCTAATGTTATCTTCAGACAGCTCGGTTTTTGTAAAAAGGGATATAATGTGTGGAATTGGATTAAAATACAATATTATCTCATTTAAAAAAAATCTTAATTCGCATGTATTTTACATATGTGCTCGAAACTTGCAGATGTTTATAGAGTGCTAAAAAAACACAACTATATTCATCCCAGCCCTTAAAAATGCGCGAAGATGACTTTTCTGGAAAAAAAAGGGAAAATGGAAATGTGTTTTCAAAAACCGTAAAATATCGAATAAAGTCGGGTTTTAGATTTAAATGGCTTAAAGAGAAGATACGCGAGAAACCCGCCGGGTCAGAGGAGGCCGGTGTGTGTCAGGAATATGTAAATCATTTGGCTTTCATCCCAGAACAATAATTTTTTAAAACGAGCGAGGGGAAGCGGAAAAATTACCGCCGTGCGCGCGGGGGCGAAGTCCTGCTTCGGCTCGCGCTGAATGGGCTCGAGCACAAAGCGCGCGGTGAGAGAAAAGGGCAGCTCGCGAGGCCCCTCCACTCAACCCGGTGGGAAACCGCTTGTCTCGTGCCGCACATGGCTTTTCTCCCACGGCGCGAGGGAGGGGAGGCTGTGTGATGTTGTTAAACAAGTCAAGCAAGAGGGCAAAGAGGGTTACAATATCAAGTTTAATCGCTTCTTTTTTACCCGTGACATCGTTCACACGAGCCCCGCGTGCGCCCTGTTGTGTCTCGAGAGTTTTTTTTTAGCAGGCTGATAAAAGGCAGCTGCAGCACAACATGAAGCGCCTTTTATTTTGAAGGAGTGTTTTGTCCGCAGTGAAAATGCCTGGAAATTGTAGAGTTTGTAGAGAAATGTGGAGTTTGGTTCTTCTTTATTGTGTTTTATTGTTAGATGTTTTTCTATGGACCTGCCTGCTCCCCAGCTGCCTCAACCACCTGCATTATGAACACAGTTATAAAGCTAATGTTAATTTATTAGCACCATTCTTCTTTTGGATTCTTGGTGCCTCAATTGTTTTAAGTCTAACCCCCATTATTTATCTCAACTTCATCATCATTGCTATGCTATTAGACCTGTTGACTTGAATTTCCATAAATCAAACTAAGACCGGTCTTTTTCCATTATCATGCTGTTCTTGTAACCCTACACTTGTATCAATTGTGTCTTCTCTCTTTCTGCACCTCTCTCTGTCCGCTCTCTGTAGCAGATGACTGGCAAACACGAGTCTGGTTCTGCTCGAGGTTTCTGCCTGTTAAATGAAGTTTTTCATCCTCTGTGTAACTCTCTTAAGGCTTAAAGTGTTTCACTCATGTGGATGAAGATGAGATGGGAGTAGGTCTGATCTAAGATGATGGGGCTCAGTCATGTCCCATCTTTATTGTGTCTCTATGGTCTAGACCGGCTTTCTTGTTAAGCGTCTTGATTTAAGACTTGTTATGAATAGGCTATATAAATAAAGAGTGGGACGAGCCAGAAAAATTACCCTGCACCCCGGTTCTTAAGTGCCATATTGTTGGCCTAGGACTCTAAAGTCGTCCCCAGTGGTACTGTTACCCTCAAACTTGACTTTTGTTGTTTTTTTATGACGTCAATGCGTCTTCGCGGATGTTTCCAAATAGTTGTCTACTTCACCTATGCCAGAATCTGCCCACTAAAGTCCCCAAAGTGTGTATTTTCATAGTGGGGGATTCCTCACGGGTCTTTTCACCCTGTTTCGCTTCCCTCTGCCGTTGACAGACTCCTCTTTCTATCTCCTGCTGCTCGCGCCTCGTTTCGGCTCTCCACGGAATTTAAACGTCACTCACGGTTGCGCGAGAGGCTTCACGCTCCGTGTGTCGCCCAGTCCCCTGCCCCGCGCACATTAATATTCCTGTAAGTCTCAGTCATGAATAACAATTACACCGAGTACCGGGGTGGAGGCGGGCGCTCGGTGCTCAGAGTCAGACAAGCGGCAGCTCCGGGCGCAGGAAGGTTCAGTGAGGAGCTGTAAGACCGGCCCCAGCCCGAAGACACAAACAAGCTCCGTTTAACCTGGAATGAGTTTGGTTATCCCGGGTTGACTCGGTCTTTGCTGCCCTGCTGTTTTACCCTGAGCCTGTTCCTGACAGCTGCAGACGGTTTACAGATGTTAGTTCATTCATACTCCACTGCGGTGAGTTTTCTTCCCTCACAATCATTCTCAGAGGCGGTGGATATTGCCAGGAAGTTTCGTTGTGAGACGTTTTGATTATGAGTGTAATAATTCCCCCTACAGGCTTTAATTTTATTCAGGAAACTATGTGTTAGTTTGGCGACTTTTGCTGCATCACCAGGGGCAAAAATTCTCCAACAAACGCGTCCTGGTTCAGGCCTGCAGTTTGTTTAATTTCGTTAAAACCGGTCTGGTTTACAATTCAGCGACGAGCTCATTTTAAATATTCTCTCCTTTTTACCCTCTTCTTCAAGGACCGGCATGACGGTGTCTCGAGCCACAGCTCGCGCCTGTCCCAGCTGGGCTCGGTATCGCACGCGGGACCCTACTCTAGCGCCCCACCGCTGTCTCACGCGCCCTCGTCGGACTTCCAGCCTCCGTATTTCCCGCCGCCGTACCAGCCGCTTGCTCACTACCAGAGCCAGGACCCGTACTCCCACGTCAGCGACCCGTACTCCCTGAACTCCCTGCACCAGAGCCAGCAGGGCGCATGGGGGGCTCGGCAGCGGCAAGATGTGACCGGAGACCGGATGGAGGGCTCCGGTCTGCTGGCTCAGCCCCGGGCCTCGCTGCCGCAGCTGTCCGGACTGGACCCTCGGCGGGACTACGGAAGCGTGAGGCGACCTGATGTGCTGCTGCACTCCGCTCATCCGGGACTGGAGCCCGGGATGGGGGACGGACTGCTGCACGGGCTGCACGGAATGGAGGACGTTCAGGTGAGTCAGAATTCACACCTGGTCCAGCAAATTCTATTTTTTTTTATTCAAGCTATTGTTTCAGGCCGAAATATTTTTAAAGTTTAATCTCAATCGTTTTCTTCCAGGGGGGAAGTTTACCAAAAGACATGTCAACTGGAGTTATTTCCCACTGAATTTTTATTGGTTCCATTTATTTGTACATGATCTCACCACCAGATATTTCATAAATTCAGTTCAAAATGGTCATATTAACAGAAACTAGAAATACTGTCTCTTTTGCATGATTAATTCTACCAGATCTGCAGCTTTCTCTGCATCTAAATTATTGGTAATAAATACCTGAAAGTGCATCTAAAGAAAATGATGCCTAATTGTTGACGGTTGTTCCATTCATTGTCTGGACATGTTTCCGGTCCTTCAGAGTAAAGGTCAGTGAACTCAGAGCAGCTCCCTAAGGGCTGTACTCTCTGCAGCTGAAGCCTAAATAAAAATGGCCCATAGCTAAACTGACTGTCTGCAGAGAGATGGTCCTCCTCCTTTGGTGAGAAGATGCTGATTTGCCGAAAAATAATAGGGATTAAATTGCTGAATGCAGCTTCAATGCTGCTCTACATTTATATTAAATCCTCATACACTGCCATGATTATTACAACACGTGTACTAAACATGCTGTGATATATTGAATATTTTATTTTGAAAAACAGAGATGCATTTTTCGGGGGCGTTACATATTCCTTTTATATTATTTATGCTCCTGTGTAATTCAAAGAATTTAAAAGCAAACAATGTGCCTTTTTGTGAGCATGTTTCCTGCCAAGGTGCACATCGTAACCCACAAAAGTAGCCATAACAGAGAATGGGTTAAAAAGACTTGATATTCAGCTGTGTATGATTCCATCTCCATCTCGTCCACCCTCAGGGCTTCTCCATCACGAATTGTTTGCCATTTAACCTCCACAATAGATTCTCATTTCTGGCTCTCTGCATTTGTGTCGTGCATTTATTAACCCCATAGAAATTTGTTTGAACAAATTCTCTCTTTTTTTTCTTTTTTTTTTCGTGTTGCACGAGCGTGTAGCAATTACAGCGACATCAGATCTGTTTAGCAGGGAGTTGATCTCTCAGGATGATGAATGAGGCTGATGAATGAGGCTGTGAAATTGAGAAAACTGCTTTTTTTCCCTATGAGTCACATTATCACGAATAAAAGACGGGGGGGATTATGAACCAGATTTATTTGCTTTGTGGAAACAAACAACCGGAATAAATCCTGAGTATTGATTGGTCTTGTTGGATTGTATTTGTTGACTTAAAATAATGACTTTTTTTTACAGTGTAAAAACTTTTCAAGTATATTACATTTATTTTTTTCTTCTATTTCTGGGGCTTTAACAGACAATTGAAGAGACAAACGGCACCAACATCCTGGACCAATCGGTTATTAAGAAAGGTAAAAAAAAAAAAAAAAAAAAAAACAATATTTACACATCTTCTCCTTTGTCATTTTATTAGTTTAACATGTATCAATAAGATTTAAAATGTCAAAATTTAACATAAATGTCTGATACGGATTTATTATTTTCTTAAAAACAATTTAAATATAGGTTAAATTTTGATTTAAGGACATCCTCATTATTCCTTTTTCATGCTTTTAATTTGAAATATTTCTGGTGTGTGTAATTACAGTCTCGATATTAACAGGGGAATTTTAACATATCTTGCGCCGAAACTGGACAAAAAGGTCACATATCTTCACGTCTTTGGCTCCTAAATATGTCGTTTTGGACGTCTAGGTTGAGGAGTTGAAAGCGGGTTAACGATCCCCGGGTATTGACTGGCAGGCAGTGTGTCGCTGACAGGCTGCCACGCTGCCGCTCTGATGATGTGCGGTGATTTAGTTACGGGATGTTGAGTGACTGAGCTCCCCGCGGGGCATTTAAGCCGCTGATGTAATAAATGGCACCGCTCACGGAGATCTCGTGAGCTCGTTTAGAGCTAATCTGCGGTATTATCCCCCGTGGAGCCATCAAAACCCCCTCATACTGGCCCCTACGCATGTATGCAAGGCTGGCTGGCTTCTTCTTTTCCCCCCTTTTTTTTAAAGCCATTAACGCGAGCATTAACACGCGGGATGAATGAGCATCCAGTGCCGGCTGGTGGGAGTTAAACCGGCCGTGGAGAAAAGACAGGGAGGTGGCTAATGCGATTTAAGAGCGAGAGCCAATCAACAATCGATAATATTGTAATGAGAATGTCGCGCGACATTAAATAACGGCAAATGCCCGGCGCGTGGGGGCTTCATTAGGCCAGGGCCTCCCTCTGAGTGCGCGAGGTCTCAACACACTGATGAAGTTTGACAAAGTGAAGGGGAAAACCTCATTTTCAGGTTGAAAATTGGTGTTTTTACTGACTTTGAAAAGAATACCTGACTCGGTCTCTTTCAGTCCCCATGCCCCCCAAGAACATGGGCTCGCTGATGCTCGGGAAGGACGGCCTGATCGGTGGGGTGACCGTGAACATCAACGAAGTTTTCTGCTCGGTACCGGGCCGCCTGTCGCTGCTCAGCTCCACCTCCAAGTACAAAGTGACCGTAGGGGAGGTGCAGAGGAGACTGTCCCCACCCGAGTGCCTCAACGCCTCCCTGCTGGGGGGCGTGTTGAGAAGGTAGGACTGCAGCCTGAGATCATATTGATGCTCAGAGTTAACAGTGGATGTATTTAAAAGCTCGTTTAATATGCAGGGGGTGTATTAATTAAAGCTGGAGCTTTAAAGTCTCAGTATCTGTGCCATTTGCAGCCCAGATTGTACTTAACATTAACCAAACCTCTCGAGACAAATTGAAGCACAACCTGATGACTTCAAGCTGATGACTTCTGGTTATAATAAAGTTTCCAGACTCCTGAGTGAATATTCGCCATTTAATAGGCTAAATATAACGCCCCTTAAAATAATGATATGAAAGCATTTCCAGCATACCCTAAATTAAGTTTCATTGTTATGATTGTGACTTGTTTCTGCAGAGCAAAGTCCAAAAACGGAGGGAAATGTCTGCGAGAGAAGCTGGAGAAGATTGGATTGAATTTACCTGCAGGAAGACGCAAAGCAGCCAATGTCACATTATTAACATCTCTAGTAGAAGGTGACTGAGCTCATGTTCCTAACCCCAGAAATACACAGACACTACAGAAATGTTATTGTTTATTGAAGTAATTTTTTTGTTTTGCCAAAACACATGAAGGACTTAAGAAGAATATATGTTTATTTTTATCCTCATGTGACAATGACTTGACACCCAAAGTGTGGCATCACAAAAACTTACACTGTGACCAAGACTCCAAAGGTCATGACCTACAGGATTTGGAAATACGCTGCGCTTGTACCTGACTGATATGATCAAAAACATACATGCTCCTCTTACTCGTTGCCCATTGTAAAGCGGCTCATGTCAAAACAAACAGGTGGGCCTGATAACAGTGTTAGAAAGACTGTCTTTAAAAGCTGCTCTTCACACAAAGTGTTGGACTGTTTTTAGCCAAATTGTGGGCTTCTAATGTTCTAAAAGGTTTATTAAAGCCACATTTCACACTTTTAAGGTTGATTTGCATTTAATTTTTAAATTGTCGATTAACTTTATTTTATTCAATTGTTTGGTGTGTGTGTGTGTGTGTGTGTGTGTGTGTGTGTGTGTGTGTGTGTGTGTGTGTGTGTGTGTGTGTGTGTGTGTGTGTGTGTGTGTGTATTTTGTTCTGTGCTTTGTCATCTGGGGGCGTAAAATAGATCTGCATCTCATACGCAAACTAAGTAGACTGATCATCATCTAACGTTTATTTTCACTCTATAATTTGGGCTAATAGGAAATTTACCTCTTGGTAGCATAAATAAAACCAACCCTGAATTTGTATACCCATATACTGAATAACTTAGCCTCCTTTTGTAATTTCTGTGTAATCTTGTGTGTATTCTGGTCCCCCTCATCTTTATCTTATATGTTGACAGTTAATGACATTTGGGACCAATTCTTGTGAGAAGCCTCCAAAATATGGAGTAAAATTAGCCCGTTTGGCAACTCTTGACCAATAATATCGATGTTAAAACAAAAAATTTATTTTATTATACCCGGAAACAGAATAGGCCTAAGTACACAAGCTAACTGAATCATGAATCTTTCGTGCGTTTTTTTCCGCCAGTCGCGGATTGATATGAGGCTTACACGTGAGGATACCGACTTTTTCAAACAAACTGGTAATTTTTAAAATAACGGACAACAGACACCCGCTAAAACCAGTAAAATGTGGGCTAAAGTTTGACGAAATGTCCGTTATTGGGCCATTTATTCGTCTGACAAACCTGTATTAACTCGAATCTTCATTGTTGTCTTCCCCCAGGTGAAGCGGTCCACCTGGCCCGGGATTTTGGTTACATCTGCGAGACGGAGTTCCCCACCAAGGCCGTGAGCGAGTACCTCAACCGGCAGCACGCGGACCCCAACGAGCTGCACACGCGGAAAAACATGCTGCTGGCGACAAAGTGAGTGTGATGGAGCGTTTGATTAGATTCTGTTCGTTTACTGTCTTCATGGGGAGGAAATATAATACATGTCTGCGGTTTAATATCGAGGATAGGAGACGAGGAGACAGGTGGAATGAGATCAGAGCAGAAAAAAACTGTGGTGGAGTCGCTGATATCACGATAGACATGTTCAAGCAGAGAAGAGCTTCATTAAAAATAAGCAGTTTAAGCTAGGAGTCAGGTAAAGACATTATAATACACATACGAATAAGCAGACGAGAAGACAGTTTCCTATTCAAGTGCCTCGAATACATTGCTCCAAATCTCCACGATAGCCCTAAGTTTGTAAGTTTTTATTGCCTCTGGTTCAAATTTACAATTTGTTACACATACTTACTCTCCTGTAAGTAAGCACATTTCTGATAAAAGAAATTATCATAAAATTAAACTCACCCTTATAATTTTACCAGGGCCTCCACACCCCCCTCTCTGGGCCTCTCCCCAGGGGGTTAAACCTTCCATATCCACCCTTATATATTACAACCAGCCTTCTTAGTGAATACACAGTGAACATGCTTTGACATTTATAAAAGAGAGATTTTTATAAATGAAAGGCATCAACCTTGGTGTAGATCTGACCTGTAATGAAATGGCTGATTGGAATAGTGTCATAAAGGGAAAATAGGTGAGTTAAATCCATTTAAAACAAGGGGGAAAAAAACTCTAACATGCAAGGACATATTTACTGAGCTGAAGACAATGATTTAATTTCAATCTCATGACAAGATGTAAGATGCATGCTATAAAATATCATCACTTTGTATGCGACTGCACAACTTAGCATCTTTACAGGCGGTTCATTGCACAGAATAACCTTTTGCTCATGTATGAACAAGCCTTATGTGCCTTATGCAGCTCAGAGACATTATAAAACATGAGCTTTGAGGTTCCTCCTGTATGTTTGACCTCTGCTTATGGTCTTAAAAGCAATCCATTTTACATTTGACTCCTCGTAAAGTTACTTTTATTAATCCATTTTACGGCCCTTTAACTGTGGAAATGAATCAAGGATTGTCTGATTAGCCTTAGCAGCTGAGAAATGTGGATTTTTTTCTTTAAAGAAAGCAGGCAGAGGGGATGTGGGTTTAAAAAAGTAGACTGAATTGGAGTTTAACACTTGATTTTTTGCCTGTGTTAATTTCAGCAAAATAAGCATTTCACAAATTAATGAATAGTCCTATTTCAGTGTGGGTTTCCACCCATGAAAGATGACCATTTGATCAGCTTTTGCAACCGAGACATACCGATTTCTTCAAACTCAAATTTTGGATTAAAAACTGAAATTATCCCATTTTTTGTCTATGTCCATCTGCCAAGAAAAAACATGTTCAGGTAATTTATGTCAAGTCCTTTCTCAGGTCCTTTTATAGCCCCAAATGGTCATTTTTAACGTATGTTAAAACCAGAACTGCCTGATTGGCCTTAGGAACCAAGAAATACAAAGACACCAGGCTGGCAGAGTTGATCACCATTTGGATGCAAACTTTCATCTCCTTTGGCTTTGATAAAAAAGAAAACTTCCACAAAAGTAATTAGTAGTCTCGCAGTCTTCTGTGTCCATTTACTCCCCTGGTTTTAAGTTTTCAGGGGGAAAAGGTTGCACATAGCTGTAACACCATTTTCCAAAGATCCCTCCAGGATGCTTGTATTTTTAGCTTGCATAAATAGTGCTTTTTGCTGGCCTGCACTGCATTAACCATCTGCCAATCTGTGTGTGTCAGTGCATGTGTGTTTGCATCCTGATGTACTCAGTATGTACGGTGTGTTCAGTGGTGGATGTTTGATGCCCAGATTCAAACCTGTTCCAATACTGTGTGTCGGTGCTGCCTGTTAGAAATTCATTATTTAGCAGCAAAGTGTTTCAAGCCGTCAGAAAACAACAGCGAGGGCCGCCAGTCTAGCCCGGGGACGCGGCTTCTCCTCTCTACTCCCCTAACCCCAGCTGGGCTCGGCCCGCACAGCCTGTCACTCATTTGCTGCAGCTCTGCCCTTAGGCCGCTGACTGTGTGTGTGTGTGTGTGTGTGTGTGTGTGTGTGTGTGTGTGTGTGTGTGTGTGTGTGTGTGTGTGTGTGTGTGTGAATGGGGTGAGCAAATCTGAGAGAGGGGGGAAAGGAGGAGAGAGACAGAGAGGGGTCTCTTGAATATAAAATGTGGGCCTAAAACCAAAGGATGATTTGCTGAAATTTAACAGCAAGGTGAAGACGGGATTTTCTTTCTGCTGAGGGTTTTTCAGTTTTAAATCTGCCGCATCTGCAATTTTGATCACACAAGATTAACGATTTACCTGTAATGTGAAGGCCACAGTCCAAACCGTTTTCATGCTCGGAGTTCATTTTTTGAGGCACAAAGGGCCAGTATTTCAATGTTTTTATGTGTTCACCCAGGACCACAGGATCATTTCGGTAAGCAAAATTTGCAAACCTGAATGTATGATGTTATATGAGGCAGGTTTTTGTGAGGGGTCAATGAAGCCAGAAAGGAGGGCAAAGCTAACTCGCCCATAGTCCCCTTTTAGAGTCAGGACTTCAAGTCATATAAAGGGCTTCATTTTCAGACAAACTTCTCCAAAAAGACCTACCAAAGACTTTTAAAACTTCTCCACACACAGCAGCCTCAGTGCACCAGAATGTACTTCAGCCCGAGGGCCTTTTTAGGGGGATTATACACCTCTAAATTGAAAACTCCTGCTCTTTCACAGCTACTGCTCAGGTATAGATACACTGACGCCAATGATTGCATCAACTCCATGCAGCTTTTTTTTTCCTCCGCTATTTCAAATGTACTCTGGGAAACACACAGAAAATGATATGGATTTAAAGAGTGAAAGAAAGTATTCCACCTTCAATGTAAAAAGGCCTTTGGATAGGCCATAAAATAAATCACTGCAAGGAAAAAGACAAAATTCTCAGGCCTGTTGGCTATTACAGGGCAGAGATTTTGCATCAAATAAAAGTGTATGCAGTCGGGTTAAAACACTTAGTGCTATACCAGCAAATCCTTATTTAACTTCTATAATCTTGTCCTGATTTGCAAAGAACCAAGACACAAAGCATTTGTTCAATTCACTCTCATGTTACACAGGTGTGTGAGGAGCTGCAGGACCATGACTGAGAGTTTCATCAGTCTAGGTTTCAGAGACAGCTCCACTGCTTTTTATTCTTTTTATTTTCACCCTTACAAGAACACCCTGATAGATTAATCTTTGATTATTCTGTATTTAGATTTTTTATTATTTACTGAAATTCCAGTTCAATTTACCAATCCAGTTTTTCATTTCAATTCCAATGAAAAAGCAGCAAAATAACAATATAAATCCTGGCTCCACATCAAATCAGAACAACTAAACATGATGTAGTAGCAAGCCAATGGCTTTTATGGGAAGTAAGTTTCACCTAGTTTATAGGGTACAGATGTTTGGCTTGAAAATATTTAGTTAAGAATGACTAGCATTTGTTATCATTTCAACCATCACCCAGTCAATTTAATGTAAAAGAATAGGAACAATTAACATCAGAGGAGAGCATGTCAGTCGCTTCAAAACACCCAAACTCAGGACACCAGTTTGGCTTATAGCAAATAAATTGTGTGTCCCATGTGTCACATACTTGTTCAGTTCACTGTCCTGTCGTCTAAATAGAGGCATAAAAAAGCCCAGAAATAAACCATAAAAACAGGCCTGAACCTCACTCTGTATAAGATAAATGGGCCTTATCTGCCAGAGCAGAAAAGACAGGAGCGTATAGGTGCGTTTGGATCTTAGACAGGGAAGTCTGCCCCTAATGCTACAATCTGACTGTAATCTGACTGTACATCTTTGACTTTGTTTTAAGACAGATTTTGCAGTAATATTTTGATAAAGCCTGATCTGGATGAAGTTTATGAAGTTTTCAGCCAGACAGGGGTGATTTATATATGGTATACTGGTTTGATATTGTCTGATTTTTTGGCACACATTGGATGTTGGCATTTATGTTTGAATGCAGACAGCCTACTGCAATGTCTTGCATGAGCAGGTCCTGCAAGGAAACAGCTTTAGTAATTTAGGTTTTAAAGAGTTTCTATACCTTGTGCAGCCCAGAAAGCAAACATAAATAAAAGCAAAGTTTAAACCTGTAGTTTAAGGTCAAGTGCTTTAATAGTGAAGAGGTAAAAATGTAATTATTTGCTAGCAGTTTAAATACCATGTTAAATTTTGCCTCCTCTCTAAAATGATGGACTATATTATGTTTCTTAATTACAAACAGGTCCAATAAAATGCTTTTAAATCTGCAGCTTAAAGATGACAATTTGAGACTTCTCAGGGGTTCAGTACTAGTACAAGGCGCCAAATACTACTGAAAAATATCCTCTACCAGCAGTACTAAAGATACTCTACAGAAACACAAAAATGAGGCAGAGCTCCCTCCTGATAACTTCTTGTGTCTCTCTCCCTGCAGACAGCTCTGTAAGGAGTTCACAGACCTGCTGGCCCAGGACCGGACTCCCCTGGGCAACTCCCGGCCCAGCCCCATCCTGGAGCCTGGCATCCAGAGCTGCCTGTCCCACTTCTCCTTCATCACACACGGCTTCGGCTCGCCCGCCATCTGCGCCGCACTCACCACCCTCCAGAACTACCTCACCGAGGCTCTCAAAGGACTCGACAAGATGTTTCTAAACAACCCGTCCAACAACCGGCACGGTGACAGTGGCAACAAGGCCGGCGACAAAGAGGAGAAGCAGCGGAAATGAAGCAGGGGATGAAGAGGCGATCCAGCGTTACTTCTAGCTTTACACCACTGCCACTGACCTGCCACACACAGGGCCAGGGAGAAAGAGGAGAAGAAGGAGGACACCCGTGGGCCAGTGTCAGAGAGCACAGAGGGATTTTTCATCTGTGTTACGTTCTTTTCATTCCCCTGAGGACATGGTGGTTACTGTGTTACATCCATTTCGCTCCCCCTGCCTGCATCCTGTGAGACTGAGACTCTGAGCAGCCAACAAATGACATTGTGTATGTGAGTGCCTGTGTGAGTGTGTGCTTGTGTTTGTACTCTCTATAGACTGTGCGAAAAGATGGACGACACCACAGCTAACCAAAAGTGAAGCCAGAACATCTCCATGGCTGGCTGCAGTGTAGACCTTCTCCATGGTAATAGATGGATCATGGGTCATCCTCAAAGTCCAAACAACACATGAAAATTTTGTTGTTATCATGCTATTTTATTTCCTATTGGGTTTTTTTCCTGAAAAAAGAGGGGGCATTACATCACTGCTGACAGCTTTTGACAAATGAAGGATCTATGTCAGCCTATCAACAAGTGAATGGATGTTTTGGGTCAGAGCAGAGATGGGATGTTAATGTTGCAGCCCCACAAGTCAATCCCAGCTTTATTCTGGACTCCAGCCCAAAGTTACATCACCAGTGATTCACAGTCCAGCACCATGAATGTCTACTTCAGTTTAACAAAAAGCTGTTCTGCTGTAGACCGTGCCAACCTAAGGGATCTTTGCTGGCTTGCTGAGTCAGTGTATGTTTTGGGTAGACAGGATGGCAGTGATGCAGTTCCCCATGCCAACATTCACCGTGTAGATTCTGACCTTAAAAGACACTGTGAGGGTTTGCTTCAGATTAACTGTTATGCAGTAGACATTGCCAGCCCAAGAGCTCTTTGCCAGCTTGTTGACAAGTAAATGAGTGGTTTGGTCAGCCATCACAATGGGACGTCAATGTTTTAGTTCCCCTTGCCAGTTATTCCCATTTCAAGAATCTGTGCTCCTAAAGACTTTACTGGCCTGACCAGTCTTTGCTAGCGTGTTTATAAGCTTAATGTGTGTTTTCCAGTCCAGGCTCTGATACCAAGTGTCACTTATCATGTTAAGTCACAAAAAGCTGTTCTAAGTCTTTTCTGGTTTGACCATAAGTCCGTATGTGTAATAAATAGAGGTTCAGGCTGGACGTCTATATTGGGGCTCTCCTTACATGTGATGCCACTAGTCATCGAGTACATAATCTTAAACATCTGCGTCAGACTCACGAGATGCCATTCATTAGTAGACTTTGTCGGGCAGAGGGATCTTTGCCAGTTTGTTGGGTTTAAGTTAAAAATGAGATTGATGGGAAGGGTCAAATTTTGACACCTTGCCCCTTTCTGATGCCTCAGTCTCTACTGTCTAGAATCTGCACCAGTCATGCTTTGTCCATAGCTGTGAGAGTCTACTTCAGACTTACTGGATAATGTTTTTGGTAGACTTTGCTGGCTTGCTGATAAGTTCATGTATTATACAAAGAAGTTAAGACTGGATGTTAATATTGCAATTTCCATTGCCAGTTATGACACTAGTCACCAACAGTGCTTCAGACTAACAGGAAAAGCTGTTTTGCTTTGGACTTTGCAATCAAGACAGATCTTTGCCGGCTTGTCTATAGTTAAATGTGTGTTTTGGGTGGTGGGAAAGGGGTGCTTATATCACAGACTGACCCCAAGAGATGTTACCATGACCAGGGGCATCTGCTTCAGAATAACAAGACACTGTTGCGCTGTAGACTTTGCTGGCCTATATAATCTTTGCTGGTTTGTTTTTAAGTCACTGTGTTTTTGTGAACAAAGGGTGGGGAATTTTTACTACGGCTCTACCATCTAATGCACAGATTCTCACTCTAAATAACACAAGATGTCTGCAGCCATGTTGGAATATTTTGGCTTCACTTTCGCATTGCAAGATTCAGAGAGGTGCCGTCCATCTTAAACTCAGTCAGTGGTCCTCACACAGAAAAGCATTGTGGGTGACTTTTGGGTAATGAGTGTCATATCTGTAAAACAGGTTTGTGTGGTTACTATCACAAAACAAGGCTGGAGGTTGTTAATTTATGTGTGTAAATATTTATTTATATTAATTTAAATGAATGGTTGTGTAAATAGGTGCACCAGCTACTTTTGGAGGAGTAGGCCTATTTATCTGTGATTCGACCGTTGGGTGGGGGGGGGGGGACTCATCCAGTGTTTTTCTGTTCTTATAGAGCTGTTGTCATGTTGATGATGATGAAGATGATGATGATGATGGGTAGACATGCTTCTAATTGTCCAGTGATTTTATTTCTATCACATTGATAATAAACCATGTGTTTTATTATGCGAGGTGTGCAGCCTGCGCCTTTTCTCCTGCAGGGACGGAGTCCCACTGTTAGGGTCAGAGGTGGGAGTAATTTTCAGTTCAATCAATTCAGGATATAAAATATGGTCTTCAATAACAAGCTGAGAGTATTTAACTCTACTTAATTCATTGACTATTAATTGAGATGTTTAAAAAGCTGGCTGATTTAAAGATTTAATATGGTGGCTGACAAAGGAGGCAATCAACAGCAAGAACAATTTTTATTTCCCAAAAAGTGCAGCAAATAATTCAACACAAATTTAAAAACACATGCGTAAGTGGAAAATAAATGCAACAGCAGAAACACATTGTATATGATACAATTAAGTGTCCTGACAAAAACAAAGCTATTTCACCCATAGTGCCCCTACAGGCCTGGAGTGCTGTGATTGAAAATACACATTATGCAGTTTTTATGTTTGCAGTGCTTTTCTGCTTCTGATTACATTTGGCTTTGCATCATTTGTGTATTTGCAGCGGCTTTGCCATCAATACTGCTTGTTTTGTTGTTGTTTTTTTGTTTGTTTTGTTTTTTTGCAGGCTTTTTTTTAACCCATTTGCATTACAGCTGTTGCATGTGCATTTTGAATTTGCACCATTTTAACATTTGCTGCAGATTCTTTTCGATGGCGATCGCTCAGGCCAATTCAGTTCATCAGCCATCATTATTCAAGAAAGATGTTTTGTAGGTGCAGGTATTGATTAGCTATTCTAATCAATAGCCTAATAATTATTCTTTATGGCAGGTGATCATTTCTTTTGCATGCAAAAAAAAAACAAATACATTGGAATAATTCAGATCTTCCAAAAGAATTTTACTCTCAACCATCAGCTAAACTTTTTGTATTGTGCAATGAACTATGTGGACTATTTTATGGGATGTAGCCCCTCAACATATCACTGTCATTGGAAGTTGTAACAAAAATTACCATTTTTGCTTCATAATGTCCTGTACTTCAGGACTATCGAAGTACTTCAGGACTAGTACTTCCTGTACAACTACATTTAAATGATAGAGAGACCAAGGTTGGTTGTCTCACAGGTTGGTTGTCACATAGCTTATTACAGCTGCACTTTAAGGTTGATTGTCATCATATTTATATTATACACTTGGTCTGATGTGATGATTACTTCAATGTGGCCAAGTTTTTAATCAGACATCAAACACTGAGGTGAGAGAATATTGTGATTTTTGTGGGTCAGAGTATTTCAATACTTCTCATATTAAAGTTTAAAAGGTGATTAGTCATTTCAGCAAACATTTAATAAAAAGTGGACTTTCTGAGCCTTGTTTGAGCTTGCTAGTGACAGCCATATGGTAACAGCACAAAAGCTTTGTCAAGAGGTCAGATGGGGCTTCCTTTCACATACCTGCTCAAATTACTTGACTATTGATTAAAGAAAAATTAACATAAGTAGATAAAAATGTCACTTTTCAAACAAAACACAATATCTATAGGGATAACCAACCCTGTAATGTGTCTAGTTATCACACTGTGTCCAAGTGTCTTTGAGTGTTATTTAATAGCTTGTTAATAAATCAAGCTACAAAAATGAAAGAGATATCCATTTAATCACAAGACCACAAGCCTTCATCCAATAATCTCTGTAAGATGTGTTGATCATGAGTAATTTAAGAGTACAAAGTATGACAACCAACCCCTGTCTCCCCCAACATCTAGGTCATTGAATTTCTTCACCTTAATACGAAGACAAAAAAAGAAAAATAGCTGTTAGTTTTTCCTACCAAGCTTGTGAAAAATTGAAGAATGGTCCTTTAAAATGGATTTTATGCATTTCAATTTCTGGCTTAAAGCTTAAGATTTAAATGGATCAAAACATCCTGAAAGATGAGATTAAAACGGTTTTAACATCTGTATGAGGTTTAAAATATCAGTAGCCTTTTCTGCAGTCTATACTGCAGAAGGATGAACACACACACACACACACACACACACACACACACACACACACACACACACACACACACACACACACACACACACACACCATGATGGATACGGTCTTATTCCTCAGAGATAATTGGCTGTATTTTCCGGACACTGAGGCCCTCCATTCAGAGAGCCTCCTCTCTCTCTCTCTCTCTCTCTCTCTCTCTCTCTCTCTCTCTCTCTCTCTCTCTCTCTCTCGCACGCGCGCATGGGGAATAGAATCGTGCCTCGCGGGCCTCGCGCTTCTGCGGTGGGATCTACTGCCGGTGTGCTAATGACGGCGGAGCGCGAGACACACTGAGAAAAAGGTAGAGGGAGACAGAGAAAGAAAGCTAATGAGAAAGAGAGGCAGATAGAAAGAACTGGGGGAGATATAGAGAAAGGGGAGAGAGTGAGAGAGAGGGAAAAGTGTCCCGCGGGCTCTGCGTGACCCGTGGAGTGGAACGCCGCGTGACGCAGGTGCAGAGTTCAGCACCCGCATGTCCGCGAGCGTTTCAGCGCTTAACAAAGACGGGAAGCTGCTGAGCGTCAGTGGCTCCAACCACGACGACAGGTTGGCTGCAACGATAAACAAACAAGGGAAAGAAAACAAAACAACAACACGGAGAGAAAAACGGCGTCTTAATGAACTAACGAGGGTAATGACGGTTCAGCACGAGGACAGGCGATGATGTCAGTTTACTTATTAAAGGCCCTAATTTGATTAACTGCAGTCAAGTCTTAACATGGGCTTTAATGTTCAAATTTATATCAATTAAAACGACAAAAGTGAAATAATCAGGCCTAGTTACTGTGATACTGACTCTTAACGCAGAGAAAAAAAAATTACTATCATAATTTTGGCTTTTCCTGTGTTTATGGATTTATTGTTTTAAAGGCATTTTAATTTTTATTAATTCAGTTTGACTCACTAGAAATAAATATGCGCCAAAATAAAAATAAATATAAAAAACCTTGACCAAAACGACTGCAGTGGGCTGCAGTGTCAAGAAACAGCCAAAAACTGTGGATTTTTTAAATAGATTATTTGACATGTAATTTTGGTAATTGCTGGGATATTACACATGGAAAGGTTTAATATGTGTGATTGTGTGTTTCTTCAAAAATCAAGGGTAAAAAACAGACTTAAGTCATTGGTGCAAGAATTTATTGCTAATATTTGGTTGATTAAATCTGTACTCGGCCTCAGGCCTCTTGACAGTCCTTCATTTAAACTCAGCTGATCCTAAAACATGGTGTTCAGACTAAGTCTGTATGGTTGAACAGATCTGAAAAATAAGCCAGATTTTTAATAAATTGCTCTAAATAAAACGTCTCACTTATTTATAGGTTTATTGTAAATTTATAGATTAATAAAAACAGGTTTGAGGCTTGGAACGCTCTCTTGCTCCTCCTTTTGCTGGTAGAGTGATGGCATCTTTTGAGGACAAAAAGCTCCTGAAGTGCATTATAGGCATGATCCTGGCATCTATTTTAACCTGCGAATTCTTTTGCACACAACATCCACTCTCTTCCTCTTTCTTCCAACCAATGCATTTTCATTTACAAAATACAAAAATGCATATTTTACTTGTCTATTCTATGATACTAAACATGGTGATGCAAGATGGCTATTTTTTTACTCAGGGATTATGTATTAATTTTAAACCTACTTATGAGTATTACATTCAGTCTCAACTATATTCAAGTCTGCTACACTAATGCCATTAAATACTACATATTGCATTTGTTAACTTTTTCTTTGGCTTCACATATATTTTTTCTCTTTTTGATGCTGCATTTTTTATACACACTACAAGACCAATCATCTACTGCAATAGACATCTGGAGAAAAAATGTCGGTCAGGAGAGCAAGTAAACTTTCATGTAAACTTGAGCAGTTCACGACTTTAACGATGTGCACTAAACACTCATTGTTTACCAAAACTGGTCCGTTAAACACCTTGCAGCATCAAACAGTGGCCCTGCATCCGAAACCTCAGCCTCACAGGTGGCATGGTTCTACTCTTCCCATTAGAATAATTGATAGAAGCACTTATTTATGGCTGATGTTAACTTCTGACTCGATGATGTCTTTCAAAACTACTGCAGCAGAAGCAAGGGACACAGTACGGTTGGGTCGAGTTTGGGCTTAACTCCCCTCTCTCAACAAAAGTCAGCAAAGTCCCAACTTTCTGATGGTTCTATAGATGATTCTGTCAAACTTTTCCTTTGGCGTGAAGTATGTTAAGAGTGAGTTAACTCTTGAAAAGAGGTCACCTGATTTGAAAATGCAAACACGCTTGATATTTACAAGCCAACTCAAAGTTCACGTTTGACTGTGAAGAACAAGTTTTGAGAGTTGGGGATAGCAATGAGAGCCAATGGAAATCATTCAGTAAGTTGGTCATCAGAATTAAAGGACTAACTTGTTAATTCATGGCAAAAACAGAGAGTGTGTACACAACAGACCCTGTAGAACACACTTCCATCAAACAGACCAGGGGAGGAACAGGAATCAAGATCATGATGGCTGGACCAGGTTACTAAGCAGTTGGCAATGTTTATCTCTACTGCAAAGTCCACCTGCTCTAAAGTCAGTCATGACTGCAAGAGATTTTGTTAGAATTTCAGTTTTGATCAAGGGACAAAGTCTAATCTCAAGAAAGTAAGCCGGTCTGGGTGTTAAAAAAATGGCAGTTCCACAAGTGACCACTTGAGGCTGGCTGCAGAAGCACCAGAGACCACATACACATTAAACCAAACTCCTGTTTTTGGAGCCAAAATAAAACAGCTTTGGTTCTTAAAACAGCTTTAGTCCGATTAGCTCAGGGCTCTGACTGAATAGAGTGGTATTTTTTGTCATTTGTTTTAAAGCTATTCAGGTTTCAAGATCAGCAAATCAGAAGCACAACTGACTAGAGAGCACTGAACTGAGCATCTGTCCAAGATCTTTCCTGGAGTTCAGGACATTAGGGGCTGAGCCTGGACCCCCCACACCACCTTAAAAAGTTTAAAACAAAGGCCAAAGGAATAAGGCTGTGACTAAAACTAACAGGCTTTTTAGTGGAAAGATATAAAACGAAATCTAAAATAGCTGCCACTGGTTGGGTCCCTACTGTTTTTATCATCTGTTTATGATCTTAACAACCTTATAGTGATGGCCAGGCTTTAGACCAAGAGCATTTTGAGGTGGGTTTAGACAAAACTAGAGTAGAAATAAAGTCTGTTTGATGGTAAGTGGAAACAGCTAGAGTGTGTTAGCTGTTACAGTTATTCTGACGTAAGGTTTTAGAGTCATTTTCACCAACTGCAACAGGAAACCTGGTATGCTTCAAAAAGTTGTACAGTTCCTCTAAATTTTTTTGTTGACATTATTCCTGCAAAGTTTTCACTCTGCAGATTCTGTGAGGCTACCATGCTCAGGGGAAAGATCCTCCATCTGCAAAGAGTTTGAAATGACTTTCACAAGCCGGGCTCGATATGAATTATGCGTGTGATGAATTGGTGATAAAGGGAAGCAAAATGTGTCTTTATGAAAACGTCACAGGTTGTTACTTTGATAAGAGACCTGGTGCAAGGTAATGTGGTTATGAATGTGGACTGAGCTAATGAAGGCATGGGCTACATCTGACACACAAACCATGAGAGACAGTCTGCTCTACGTGCAGTTATGTCCATGTTTCTGTCACTCTCTCTGTCCTGCCTCAAAGTGAGAGAGCGAGCCCCCGTCAGCTAAAGCCCAGGAGTGATCTGTCACGCAATGGGCTGTAAAAACGCTTATCCTCCACACACACACACACACACACACACACACAGGTTATCCAGCTTGCAGACAGCAGAGTGCCGGTCGGGAGTAATTCCTGCTCGGGGCACTGTGCTCCGGGCGAGGCAGGCGCGTGCTGGATATTTCATTATTCATTAATTTACTGTTTAACAAATCCTGTCATTACTGAGAGCCCCAGCCCGATTCTCTCTTTCACACACACACACACACACACACACACACACACACACACACACACACACACACACACATATTCACACATACACAAAACACACACTCACAGCAGTGGGTGTCAGGCGTGGCAAATCGGCCTGTTTGATCCTGGCCTCCTCAACAAACGGGGAGAGAGCCATGAATAATAAGGAACGCCGAGTCTCGCTGGAACGAGGGAGCGTGACACCGTCTCACAAAAAGCCCTTTAGCGAGGAGGGAAGGCTCCGCCGGGGCCTCACCCAGGGCCCAGGGTTCATTATATGAAAAGACAAAACAAACAGTTGGCACAAACGTGATCGATATGAAAGGCAAACGCTCCCACACACACAAAAGAGGCGAGTGAATCAGTCATGTTTGACAAAAGAAGCTGAGCTGCTTCCTTTCTGCACATGGAGGAGTGGAGCATGGCTGCTGTTTACTGTTTTCACTCCTGAGTCCACTAATGGGATCAGGATTAGAGCTGTGAATGTGTTCCTGGCTCATGCATGCTTGTTTTTGGCTCAAATCCCTGTAAAAACAAAAGGGATATCTACTCCAGTTCTTGCATGAAACAGTTGAATATGTGCAAAATGAGGAACTCACACACTAGAATAATGACTTCTACTTTCCCCTTTTCACTCTAGTTCAC